CCCTCAATTATAATAAGAAGAAAAAAGACCTGAAAATTGTCCACGAATCGGCGCCGCTAACCATTGGTAGTGACTGAATTGCAGCAAATTGGCGGAGAAGCGAACGGGGACAAAACTGATGGAAAAAACTGATTAATGGGTTGCTGCAGTTGAAGGAGTGTGTCTTTAGAGAGAAAATAAAGGGGAGATGAAAAACGGCAGATAGAAATTTATGGGAGATGAAACGGTTTTGTTTTTTCTTTTTTTCTACCCAAAGATTTTACAAATTACAAAACTTCCCCTAGGGTTTGTAAACCTAAAAATGCCACGTGTCAGCATTTTAGGGCCATAGATTGTCTTTTTATATATATATATAGATGACCACCCCTGTGAAAATTGCAACCGAGTGTTTCCCGTCATAAAAAAATAGCAAATACCCCCTTGTATTTATTTTTGGATATCATGCTCGACCCTTTTTCCTTTTTCCAATTGAGTGGTTGTGGAAAGACAAAAATACCCTTGGGAGGTTTCTGCTAAGACTTGAGGACCAAATTCAATTACTGAAAAATTGTAAAAACTAAATCAAAAATAAGTTAGGGGACTGAATAATAATTTTCAGAAAAATACATAATATTTATAAAATTGTGGGGCTCAAAACACTATTTTGGAGCAAAATTAAAATTTAAAATTATTTTGGAACTGAAAAATAATTATAAATGTAAATTACTGTTATAATTATTCGTTTAATAATATTAAAACATAAACAAAGAAAATTCTTAGACAAATAAACATAAATCGAATTGAATTTAAATATAAATAATCCAAAACTTTGGATCAAATTGCAATTTTAAAAAAATTTAACAAATGAAATTAACACGTTTGTTATGGGAAAAAAAAGAGACTGAAAACAAAAAGATAAAAAAACATCGTCATCCCCAAATTTCTTAAAAGGAAATGATGAATACAGGACGACTTTTAGTAAATGTAGGACATTTTTTTTAATTTTAATTTGTATCCCTATTTTAGAACGTATTTTAGTAGCTATTGAAATTTTAGTATAAAAATTAATTCTCATCCAATATTTATCATTCCGTCTATAGAACTACCTTTATTATCGACAATTTCCAATCTCCTCTTTAAATTAGTTTATACTACAAAATGTTTTGTCCGAATGGAAAATATTCACAATAATCGACTTCTTTAAACGTCTCGAGATGATCCTGGACCAAATTAATAACAAAATTAATATATATTTTTTAAAATCTGGCACATAAAAAAAAAAAAAAAAAAAAAGGAAACTTTGGCACATAAAAGAGGAATTTTTTTCGCATCGAAATGATTTTTTTACCACTTTTAGTTGTATCATCCTCCAAACCTAATAAATTCATGTTCTTCGTGATTAAAGATAGATTAAATTGTGTGATATTCCAAAGTAATATCGATAGATACTTATAAAAAAAAAAGTTTGAAAAAAAATTGGGATATATTAGGTTTTGAATTTTTAATTAAACTATCTACCTTTACTAAAACTCTTCATATGTATTCTGCCAAAATAATATCGTTAAAAACTTCTAAACAAAAGAGATTTCACAAAATAAGATGTGATATATATAGGGTCTTTACAAATAATCCCATCAATGGGTACTTATTCATAAAGAGATCGAGACAATAAACTCCTTTACAAAAAAGTCCACACATGGTCCAGATTTTTGTAAAAGACTAAAATAGCCCCTCATATTTTAATATGCTCCAATTGCATCGTTTAATTTAATTTAACCTCAATTTGACCTCAAATTTCACAAATTATTCAATTTTGACCCAAAACACATTTTTATGCACAATTTCGTCCGTCACGGCCAGTCAACCGCTTTGACTTTTTTTTTTCTTCCGGATTTTTTCGCCGATTTCCGGTGTTGACTTTTTCGAATATTTTTATTTCTTTCTTTCTTTCTTTCTTTTAACACAGTAATATTGTTATATTAATCTCTAGCACATTAATATTAACACAACAAAACTCATTCTTATTGTGTAATAGAGTAATATTACTATGTTGACCGTTCAACAAATGTAAACATAATAAAAAACCAAAATAATTACTATTATTGTGAGTGACAGTAATATTACTATAACAACAGTAATATTACCGTCAACCACAGTAATATTACAATAATAGACAGTAATATTATCACGTTACTTCGTGAATAACTCAAACAAACAAACAAACTCAAACAAAATAATAATATCGATGTGGTTGACAACAATATCACTATAACAACAGTCATATTACAGTCAACCACAGTAATATTATTGTGTTTACAGTAGGGGTGGCAATTTCTCAACTTGGACCGGATCCATGTGGATCGGATGCAAAAGGAACCGGATCCAATATCAACCTACATGAATGGATA